TGAGGGGACTGAGCAGGCAGAATGTCTTTAACTATAAAGTGCTATCTAAGAACCTTGGCAAGACCCCAGCTGGGATTTGTCTATACCATTTATAAGTGATGCCTGCTTAAGCTTTAAGAAGGTATATGAATGAAGAATGAGGCACCAAGATTGGCTGAATGGAGGTCATCTGCCAAGGTCATGGAAAGAATGTGAAATGTCAGATTAGTCTGATTCTGCTCTCTGCTCTCTGTTCTCACACACACACTTTCCATCCCCAGAGTTTAATTAGTTTCTTCTAGCACAGGAAATGTAGTGCATCTGGAATACTGTTGACTGCTCTGCAAATACTGCACATTTAGTATATTATCAACATTCTATGCAATTCCTCATGTGATAATCACGTTCAGCAAAGTCTCACAGGTAAGTCTCTGGCAGCCAGTTTCAAGGGCAATGTTCTTACCATATTTGTGTCTACTCTACCCCTAACACACTTTTGGGTCACTTTTTCCCCATATGACCTTCGGCAAATCAGTCACCCTCTGTGATCATCATGACATTTGCAGAGTTTTTAAATTGGAGATCGGAATAAAGTTCTATACTTCTCTTTTGCTTCTGTTGGTACTCCATCGCTTCTCCTTTCTCCTTACTCCATGTCCCCCAAAACACAAATCTGCAGTCCAGCCATTCTGAAACACTTGTCTTCCCTGATGCAGCCATTGTTTCCTGCCCTCGTGAAATATCCTCTGCTTTGAATTTACTTTCTTGAAACCTTTATTTTCCAACTAACTCCTACCAATCCTACATGACTCAGCTTCTACATCATCTTCTCCAGAAAGGCTTCCCTGCCCTCTCCCACCACCACTTTGCAGGTTGGATGTTCCTGCTTGATGGTCCCATAGCACCTGTACTTCCACTGTTGTCTAACCAATTTATCTTTCTCTTTGGACCTGCCACCTCCTATTCATGTTTGCACAACCAGTGCCAAGCACAGCACTCTGGTCTTCATCACACTGTCTTTCTTGCTGGGTTTAGTAGCTAGTATAGAATTGCAAGCTCCTCACCTAAAACCTGCTCTTGATGTTAAGTTGAAAATCATGGCTATGCTCTTAGATACTGCTGTATCTGTGGTAGACTATGCTTGTGAGAAGCAAGGCTTTTAGTCTCCATCCCAAAGGCTGGAGGTATTTGTAAATGGTTTCTGTTGGGCACCAGAAATTTCCCAAGAAGAGGAAAACCACATTCATCTCACAAGACTGGACAGTGTGCCCTTTAATATTCCAAACTAGCCTCAGATGAAATCATCTTCATTGATAGATTAGGAAATTGAGGCCCAAAGAGGGACTGAGTCAGGGTTCCAGGGACAAGGAGTAGTGAAGGTATGAGAAGTTTGGTGGCTTCTAATCCTGGATGTCAAGCCTGGGAGAAATTTGCTTCCTCACTCTCTCTCTCCCCCACCTCCTACCTACTTCTCCAGACGACAGTGTCCACGCTGTGCTTGTAGAAGCCCCAGGAAGAGTCACAAAGGCAGACAATTGGAGCAGACAGCTCTGCCAGGGCTGCCCTCTGTGGAGCTGGGGAAGAACGCTGTGTACTCTTCCCTCTCCTTCTCAGTAGTGCATCGATCCTGCACTTGGAAAAATCAATGCTGGCTAGGACAGGAGAAAGATTAGTTCCAATGCATTTGTCATTTGAGGTGACTTCAGACATACACAGCAATGGCCCATCAATTTCTGCTCCCCATCACAGCCACTCACCCAAACAAGAGCAACAGCCACCAGCAGGGCTGAGCATGGGAATCGGAACCACAGAGTGTAGGGGTGACAGGGATTTGGGAGGCCCCCCTGGTTCAACTCCTCACTGCACAGTTGAGGAGTCTGAGGCCAGGAGGCGAGTGATCTGCTCAAGGTTACATGGCTGTGTGGTGACAGTGCCAGGACATGAATTTGGGTATCTGGACACCGTTCCCATGCCCTCAACCCTGGATCGCATTGTGCAGGTATGATTCAGTGCCAGGAGGACTCCTTTCCTTCCCCTGGGCCCTGGTGCCCAGCACGCCTCTCTCAGAGTTCAATGCCATCATAGAAGCAGTGTAGAGCAGTGGTTAAGAACACAGGCTTGGGGTTAGATGGACCTGAGTTTATGAATTGCTCCTCCCAGAAAATTATTTAACTTATCTGTCTTGCGGTTTCTTTATCTGTGCCAAGGACTGTTTTAATTACATGTATTAGCACCTAAAACCATTAAAACCCATGAGGCTAGTACTGTTGCCTGTGGTTACTTTAGGCACAGAGAGATTCAGAAGCTTGCCAGAGATCACAGAGCCAGGAAGGGCACAGTGGGCACCAAACCCAGGCAGAGCAGCTCTGGAGCCCATGCTTTAAGTACTGTGCTGTCATGCTGCGCACTAAGCTCCCTGCACTCCCACCCCACCCAATCCAGCAAGCATAAGCACCACACGCACATGACAACACAGCTAGAGCATGTCTACTCAGCCATGTGCCAGACTGTTGGTCAGTTTCTCTCATTGTTGATCAGTGGGTACAAAGAAAAAAGAATATCATGAGTCAGCTTGGCTTCTTTGAAGTGCCCCAGACTGTGTTGCTATGTTCTTCCATAAATGTAAATTTCTAAGACATTCTTTTATCACAGTCTGATTTGCTTGGGGCTGGCTTAGTTCTGAAACTAAAGGACACAGTGGCATTTGGGCATATCCAGTAAAGGCCTGGCAAACAGAAGGCTGCTTTTGACCCCAAAGAATTCCACAGTAATTGGGTTTCACAGTGAGGATGATCCCCGTCGAGGTACTCTCAAACATCTCTCCACCCAGCATATTAATTATTCATAATGTCCTTAAATACTCTTCTATGATGAAATGTTAAGTGACATATTAAATATTCATCATGATGCACCTAGAGCAGGGCCAAGGGTAGAATTAAGCAGAACAAATGTGATTTCTGATTACATCTCTTTAATTCTAGGCACCAAACACCCCCAGACAGCTAGGACTCCCATCCTATTCTGAAAGCAAGCCAGCAAATAGATTCCACAACATCCCTTCATATGCTGCCAAACTGTCTTTAGAGTCTTGGCAAGAAGTTCTTTCCTTTTTCTTTCTTTATTTTTAACTTTTAAAAATTGAAGTATAAGTTATATGCATATATGTATGCACCCACACAGCCAACACCTAGATCAAGATATAGAACATTTCTAGCGGCCCAGAAGTCTCCCCCGTGCTTCTGCCCAGTCAACACACACACACACACTCTCGCGCGCGCACACACACACACACGCACACACGCACACACACAATCACTACTTGACAAAAAAATGTGTTTTAAATTTAACTTAGATCCTTCCTTTTGTGATTGCTGTTCACCTCCTATCATTTTAAATTTGAAGGCAAAGGCCAGGGCGCCCACTGATTGGAAGCTGTCTAGAGTGGAGGGCTGGAGACCAAGAGGCTCCTGGGGCAGTCCAGGGAGAGGTCATGCTGGCCTGGTCCGAAGATGCCAGTTGGGGGCAGATGGAGTGCAAGAGAGACTTGCGGGGTGTATCTTGGAGGTAGAGGTGACAGGGTTGGAGATGTGACAGTGAAGGAAAAGGAGGAGGCAGACATGACCTATTGGCTGTGGCATGAGTCTCTTGGGGGAGCGGTTGCCATTTGCTGGGAAAGGGAAGACAGCAGAGGAGCAGGTTGGCTCAAGACCTGTGTTTGGACTTGTTAACTTGAGGTACCTATTAGGCACCCACCTGTGGGACCACGTCATCCAGAGCTCAGAGAGATGGCAGGCCTGGAGAAAGATATGTACTTGGGAATCATCTGCCTGTAGATGGGTTTTAAAGCCTGGGTATGGCACAGAGTCACCTAGGGTAGACAGCAGAGAACAGGACCCAAGACACAGCCCTCTAGTCATTCTTGGTGATGCTGACACTTGCCTTCAATGAGCTCTAACTAACAATTGAAAGGGGAAAATAAACATTGTCTAATATACAATTCAGCCTCAAGATTTAACAAATTTACTTTTAGCTTGGGGGGAAAATGTCATTTTAAGATGTTCTGTAGCCTGTCATGATGATACGAAAGGATTTTGGCTCTTTGGCCGGAGTGGCCATCCCTTTAGGATTCCAGTGGTCCCCAGCCCAGGAAACACAAACCACCATGATGATTTCACAGGCTCTTTCCATTATTTCAGAAAGCCCAGTTGAAGTTGTACATTTACCTGCCATAAAGCTATATAAGCTCCTTGCAACATCAAGTATTTCTGCTTTGACTAGAATTATATCAATTGGCAACACTGGCTATCTTAGATGATCAGAAGCTGTGCTCAATAGTAACATACCAACAATTATTTTTAAAAATGAGAAAATGTACAAGCACCTAATCAATGCACTTTTTAAGGAAGCCAATCTTTTCAAAGATTCAGTTCATTCATCTGTCAAAATGGGGAATAATAAGAGTACCTGCCTCTTTGTGTTATCCTGGGACATTAAATGAGACAATGTACATGAAGAGCAACTTGTAAGTGCTCAGTATGTGGTAGTGGTGATTATTGTTATTGTGAATATTCTTGATGTAACCTGGGGTTCAAAGGGAACAAGTAATAAAAGGTTCCCCCTTTGTGTGAAAAGTGTGACCATCACACTACCCTTCTGCTCTATGACACATCCTGGTGCCAATCATAAGAACCCATCACATGGACCTGGTTAGCAGTTCTTATACTCCTGTTTATGTTCAGTGACATGGCCCCATCCTTACTCAAGAGTCTTTCTTCAAGAACACTGGACAGTTGGCCTGACTTCCCCTCAGCTGGGCTCCTACGCTGCAGGAACATGTTCGGCAGCTACCATGATGAAAAGATAACACCAGACTTTCCTGAACTGGCTCATATGATCAGCCAGAGAGAGAAGTAGCCTACAGTAATCCGGCCTTTCAAAGTAATTTCAGCTGATTTGTTATTGTGTTTACTGGTAATGTTGCCTTTGAAACTCTAAAATAACAACATGTCAGAGCCCTGCTTCAAACTCCCAGCACAAATGGAAACATTTCCTGTGAGGTCTGGTAAATGGTGTAGTGGGGTTTAGTCATGAGACAGCTAGAAGGGAGGCAGGTGTGCCCAATACTAAGGTAAAAAGGAATGGCATTTTAACAAGAATATCAGATTAATGCTTTACAGTTGTTTAATAACTTCCACATAAGTCATCCATCCCATTTGATCTTCCAAATGGCCTTGCCAGGCTGGTAGTGTCATACTCATTTCAGAAAGCAGGATTCTGGTGGTCAGAGAAACTAAGAAACTTGTCCAAATGCTGGAGGCAGGACTCCAACCCTGCTTCTGTTCCCATCAACTGATCTTCACGGGAAATCTCCTTAATGATCCAGCACAGCCTAAGGATCTGCTGGCTCCATCAGGCATGGGTCTGCCTGGACTGCATCTGTTCTAGCCAAAGCTTCCACCATCAAAATAGGGGAGGGACCTAGGACTAAGATGAAGTGACCTTGCAAACAAAAAAAAAGAAAAAGAAGAAATAAAAATTTTAGAAAAAATAAAATAAAATAAAAATTGGGGAGGGGCCCAGGATAATTATAGAAGCCAACTTTCAACATTTTTATTTTTTTTAATTTTATTACATTTAATTTTCTTTTTTGTTTCTTTTTTTTAAATTTTTACATTAAGATATTTCACACAGAATCAACACTTTTAAAGATTTGTTTTGTTAATAAAAACATTCAGACATGTAGATATTTTACACTAGCTGGAGTCAATCACCTACATATTTTTCTTTAAATGTCTATATATGTATCTCTGTTTTTGTTGTTTTCTTTCAAATATTTTGGTGCCTACAACTGGAATAATTCATAAAATCATTTCTATTTTGGTAGAAATGTAAGATACAGAAAACCTGTGACTATTCAGAGAGTTTGATTTGAATGTTTGATTTGAAGGGCAATTCACTGAACCCTCAGCCTTTGTGGTCCTATAGAACTTTCTGGAACTGTTCTAGATCTGCACTGTCCAATACAGTAGCCAATAGTCATGAGTCTATTTTTGTCACTTGAAATGTGGTCAATATGACTCAGAAACTAACTTTGACATTTTAATTCATTCAAATTTAAGTAGCCACATGTGGCTAGTGACTATTGTATTAGATAGAGCAATAGGCTTACATCCTTGATGATAAAATGAAGTGTTTATGCTAGAATCAATCTCTAAGCTTCCTGCCATAGTTCCTAGCATAGTGGCACCTCTATTAGGCCCTAAATAAATATTTGTTGAATAGATATTTGCAGAATCAAAGAATAGCCAAATGAATAAAGATATGAACAAATAAATGAATATATCTTTAGGGAATATCATAAATAGAATTACTTTAGGATGACTTCCTGGAAAACCTAGAATTTTGGAGGAGGAAGAGGAATACCAGCATTGGCTGCAGTGGGGTGGGACTCTTGGCAGCTGTTCACATGGGAACAGAACCAGGTACAAGCCAGACACACTTGTCTTTCCACTTCCTCCACGTTGGAAGAGCAGCTTCCTCCTTGGGACTATTTTCATAGCCCAGGTCTCCTGGTGAGAAGGGCTCTCAGTGCTGGAACTACGGGCTGGGAAGAATGTCAGGAAAGAGGAAACACTTGTTAGGAAGCCACAGTGACAGCTGCCAGGACCTGCATTCCCATGCTCAGGAAAGAAGACTTCCTCCAGACACAGCTCAAAATAGCCACTGCCCCTAAGTTTGCTGGTTAAAATAAGTGGGTGAGTCACAACCACCCTTCTTGGCTTTGACTCTCGCTCGCTCTCCGTTTCTCTTTGGAGGAGTGTCTCCCTCCCAGGGTGAGGCCTTTGCCCCGGCCCACTTCCTCGTCTCAACATAGCCTATGGCAGGTGTCTGGGCATTTTCCAGAGGGGATGTCCAACACAGAAGGCTTGCTCCCCCCGTCGCTAGAAGACTTTGCCAAGAACACAAACATGACAGGCAACTGAGAGTAGGGCCATCGTATTCATTACTCCCCACCTCCCCTGGGAAGGAGCCCTGCATCTCCACCGCACGCAGCTGTGTTCAGAGCCAGAGCTTGCCAGGCTTAGCCAAGGTTTCTCTCTCTCTCTCTCTCTCAATTAACTATATGTTCCTCTTTCTATTTAACTATATGTTCCTCTTATTTTATGAACTCTTTTACTTTTAGGGTTTTTTTTGGGGGGGAGGGGACTTTTTAATTGTGGTAAAATATACACAGCAAAATTTATCATTTCCATAATTTTGAAGCGTACAATTCCATGGCATTAAGTACACATACAGCGTTGTGCAATCATCACTACTATCCATCTCCAGAACTTTTCCATTATTCCAAAGGGAAACCCTGTGCCCATGAAACACTAACTCTCCACTTTTCCCTCACTTCCACCCCAGTAACACCATTCTACTTGGAGTATCTGTGAATTTCACTACTCTAGGTACCTCATGTAAGTGGAATCATAAAGTATTTGTCTTTCTGTGACTGTTTCATTTCACTTAGCATACTGTCTCCAAGGTTCATCTATGTTACAGCATATGTCAGAATTTTCTTTATTTTAAAGGCTGAATAATATAGTCCATTGTATGCATATACCACATTTTGTTTATCCCCATTTTGGGTTCCAGAAACTGGTCAAACATACTCTCACTTATAGTAAAGGTATGGAGCAGACAGATCTGGGCTGTGATTCCTTACTGGGAGGAAAGGATACATTATATAATGGTAAAATTAGTAATAATTATAGGTAACAATTATTAAACATTTAGCATGTTCCAAATGCTAAATGCACAGGAATTCGCCATCCTGGTTCTAAGAATGTTATTATATGAATAACCACACGTAATCCTCAAAAGTACACTTATCAGTACATGTTAATTTTAGTACCATTTTACAGATGAGGGAATTGAAGGACAGAGAGTTTGTGTAACATGCCCAGAGTCTCACAGCCGGGGAGCAGTGCAGCCAGGCTGCAAACCCAAGCTCTGGCTCCAGGGCATTTGCCCTGTGACCCTTCCTGCTTTCCTGCCCTGCTAGAAGGCCAGGGCAGTGTGTCCTCCCTTGAAACACGGCCAATTGAGATTCTACAGGAAGGATTCTTGTGTATTAAATTTTCTGAGGGTTTTAAGGTCTGTTCCTGAAGGGTTTTAGATGCCTGAGTCGAGTAAAGCAACTGAAAGCACTCAAGGGGCATTGGAAAAGGCAGAAGCTGTAGTTTCAATGTACTGATCCTCCCGATCAGGTCTCGAATGTCTCCTAAACCACACTTTAAACAGTCAATCGTTTGTTCCCTGCAAACGAACATGTCTACAGGAACTTTTCATTTTAGAACTTGCTTTTCTTATGGGTTTAAGCCATTTATTTCTGTGGCTGTCAAGAAGAAAAAAAGATATTTTGATATCAGCTACTGGTGGATGAGCCACCCTTATCTCAGTCAACCTCTGCTCCCCAGCATGGGGTAGGTCTGCTGGTTTTTCTGGCAGGATGAAGGTGCTCTGCCTTACCGTTTTCTCTGCCCTGTCTGCTCAGACAGACAGTTTGATGATTATCTGTATTTACTCTCCAGCTTCAAATAACATCCCTGGAGACCTAAACACCAGGATTGGCAGAGATTCCAATGAGCCCTTGTTTCAAGCTTTTAGAGAATGAATGGATTCCCTTGGACAATTCCTTCAGAGATAGATTTATTAATCTAAATGGAAAAAAAAATGCTTGCCAAACTTACTTTCCTCCAAATACAGTGGTACTAAATAGTAGTACTTGGAATAAACCTCAAGAGAACTTCACTTATGTTGCTATGTAAATTATATGTTATATATTCTAGCTGGCCATTTTTGCTCTGGTCTGAACAAAAAGTTTACATTTCCCCCTTATCTTTGCATAACTTCTGTGGAAGCTATCTGGACTTGTGATTATGCTGGGGAGGTTAGGGGATTGATAATAAATATACCAGGATTTTTTTTTTTTTAGCTCTATTAGAGCTGTTACTATCAAAGAATCTTTTAAACCTTGGATGCCTCAAAGGAGAGGTTTGTCCTCTTATCTCCTCTGAATGGATTGCCATTACTTTAAAATGATTTTATTCACACACTCTTCTAGCAAATATAGGGTTTACCCTCCTGGTGCATTGCTTGACAAAGAAGAAACATGTAAAGTAGAAATCAGAAGAGGCCATGCAGGAATTTTTCAAATGTATTTGTCATAAATTTCTCATTGTAAAAAAAAAAAAACCCCACTTCGAAGCCACAGGAGAGAACCTAAGCATGCCTGTTGTATCCTCCATGGACAGGAATCAGTTATGAGAAGAGCCAAAGAGCCGTATGATATTGACATTGACCACTGATTACCTATGTTTATGCAGAACACACCTCCCACTGATCAAAGAGCTGGAGAAGTTGGAATATATTTTTGACCTATTTGCACCACCAAAGTGGAGGAGGAGATAAACAGCGGTGTGTTTAGAACTTTTTAAAAAATTGCAAATAAATGACTTGATAACACTGGTGTGATACATATTCCCACTATAACAAAGATCTTACAAAGATAACATTTTCTTATGTTTAGAATGGCAAAAAGATGCTTACCATCACTAAAAATCAAAAATACAATGAGATACCACATCATAGTCATTAGGATGGCTACTATCATAATCAAAACAAAACAAAACAGAAAATAGCAAGCATTGGCAAGGATGTAAAGAAATTGGAACCCTTCTTCTCTGTTAGTGGGGATGTAAAATGGTGCTATGGAAAACAGTATGACAGTTCCTCAAAAAATTAAAAATAGAACTACCTATGATCCAGCAATTCCACTTCTGGGTATACACCTAGAAGAATAAAAATCAAGGACTCAAATGGAAACTTGTACATCCATGTTCATAGCAGCATTATATACAATTGCCAACAGGTGGAAGAAATTTAAGTGTTCATCTATGGATGAATGAATAAACAATATGTCGCATACATATGCAGTGGAATATTATTCAGCCTTTAAAAAGTGAGAAAATTCTGACATATAACATGGATGAACTTTGAGGACCTTATGCTAAGTGAAATAAGCCAGTCACAAAAAGACAAAAACTATCTGATTCCACTTATGTGAGGTACCCTAGAGCAGTCACATTTACAGAGACAAAAAGCAGAAAGGTGATTTCTAGGGGCTGGGAGGGGGGAATTGGGAGTTATTGTTTAATGAGTACAGGGTTTCAGTTTTGCAAGGTGAAAAGAGTTCTGGAGATGGATGGTTGGCGATGGTTACACAACAATGTGAATATACTTACTCCTACTGAACTGTACACTTAAACATGGTTAAGATGATAAGTTTTATGACACATTATTTTACACAATTAAAAATTTTTAAATAGCATTAATGTCCTGAAATAGGAATAGCTTAATAAATCATTGTTCCTATTATGTAATTATAAATTTAAGGTAAGGCTACAGATCACCTATTCTGTAATCAAAGTCACTGGTTTTGACAGGAATCCTCTAGCACGTGACCGCATGTAGTTAATAACCATATGTGGCAAGTTAATTCTTCAGTTACTGAGACATATTTGTCATAATCAGTTTACCTTGACAATGCATCAAGAACGGTTCACTGCTCACAGTTAAATGTTCTGTAAATGTCCCACTGAGAATTGTTATGGCTAAGGTTAGAGTTTCACCTGCTTTAGTTTTTTCCTGGTAAATTTATTGTGGCTATGCTCAATAGCTTTGAGCCTTTGATCACCTGATCAGTGGTCCAACTGGACTCCAAATTGCTTCTTGTTAGGAGCGTGGGGGTGTTGTGGCCATCCCCACAGAGTGTCCCTGCAGGCTGCTTTTCACACACACATCTGGGAAGGCTATTCACTTTCACAACAGGATGCCAATCTTGCCTCCAGCATAGTTTGCTGTCTAACTGGTCCAGAAGATGCTTCTCATAGAAGGTGACATTTACGCTGAAACTTGAAGAAAGGGGAGAGTTTGCCAAGAAAACCAGAGGAAAAGGTCACTTCAGGGAAAGGGAAGATAGTGACACAGGACATTGAATTTTGAAAGTGCTTAGAGCCTTTAAGATAGCAAGTGATCCACTGTGTTTGAACACATGAAAAAGTGAGTTCGGTCAGTTCAGATTCAGCCTGTTCAGAAATTCTTGAGCACATCGTCCCTAAGAGCCTAACGCTGGTTCATTCCTTCACTGTCCCCTACACACCTCTCTGAGTCCCACTGAGAGAGAGAGAGAGAGATAACAAGTGAGAAAGAGAGAGCACCAGGGAGAGAAAGAGAGAGACAGAGCCACAGAGAGAGATCCAGAGAAAGATCGCCAGAGACAGAGAAACAGAGAGACAGAGAGTATGCACAGAAAGAAACAGCCACAGAGAGAGACAGAGACAGAGAAAGAGACTGTGAATATGGACTTCTGAGGGCTAGAATGCTCTAGATGATGTATAAAGAAAAGGATCCTTACTCTATCCAGGACTATCCATAGACATGGACAAAATGACTATAGGGAGCTTCTGTTCTATTCAAATTCCAGATGAGACCCCAAAGATCACCTAGTCCACTGACTCCTTACTCAAGGATTAAGCCACCCAGGGACTGGAAGAAATATAACTTGTTCAGGCAAGTGGGTAGGTGCAGGCATGACATGAATTGCTCAATTCTGAAATGCTCTCTTTCCCAAAAATATCTCTACTCAGTCTACCAGAGCATATACCATTCTTTTTCATGTTATCTCATTTTTTTTCTCTGCCACCATGAAATGAGATAGGTATAATTCTTTCCATTTTACTGCTGAGGTTAAAATTCAAGAAGGTAAGTAATATTCCCAGTGTTATCAGTTGTCAGTAGTATATCAGTTAAGGTTAGGATTAACTAAGAATAACAAACACTTAAAAAATAGAGGCTTAAATGAGACAATTCCAAAGGCAGGGAATTTAGGGCTGACATGGCCATTGCACAGTCACCAGAGACCCAGAATTTCTCAGGTTCCATCATTCCTGGTATGTGGCTATCATCCTCATGGTGCAATATGGCTGCTGGAGCTCCAGATGTCATATCCATCCTCCAACAAGTTAGTATTAAGGAAGAGGAAAAAGGGCTAACTACTTTCATTAAAGAAAACTTCCAGAAACTCTACATAATATTTCCACCTATACATCATTGGCTAAAATAGTCACATGATCAAACAATCTTTTAGATAATCAGTGACGTTTCTAAAAGTCAAGTTTCTATTATTTCTACACACAGGGAGAGTGGATATCCAGAAGACAACTAACAAACTCTGCCATAGATGGAAAGAGACTAGACAGCCATAGATTAATTTAGCCCCGAACCCCATCCATTTTCTATCATTCCACTACTCTCATTCCAAAATGAAGGAATGGTATTAGACAAATCCCAGAGGTGTGAGACTTCAGGGTAGTCCAGAAGGGTAAGAAGCTCGGTGAAGCAGGCACATCTGGAATGTGGTAAGATTGTGGGAAGTGATGTTAGGAGTTGTCTTGAAGATTTTGAAAGCCAAGGTAAGAAGTCTGGATACTGTCTATCCGAAAGGCAATAGGAATCAGTGCAGGTTTTTGAGGAGGGGAGAAAATTTTACTTCTCAAATGGATGCTGCAGACCTTGAAGATGTGGTAGAAAGCCCAGTGTTCTGGGGGCCTGCCTCTAAGAGTTGGCTGGTCTCTAATCTTAGCAAATTGTTTAATCTCTTTGTGCCTCATTTTCCTCCTCTGCACAAAAGTTAGTGTGAGTGCTGAGAACAGTACCTGGCATATAATGTACTCTATGAAGTTATTGTTGATATTATTAAATTCCATGAAGCCAAACAGAAAGTGAAGCAAGAGGCATTCTCTTGGTGCTGGAAGATTCCAGAACAGAGGCAACTATGGGCTTCCTCAACAGCCCACGTGGTTTTACAGGGACTTGTCACTGTAGGGAGACCTCCTTCCTGTAGCTAGAAGAGAATAGGGATTTTGGTGAAATTGGAACAGCACTCCACCCCCGATTTGTCCACCTCCCAAATACTCCCCAGGTCCTTCTTGGGCTCAGGCTCTGGGCTAGATGCCTCCAGGCTCAAGATCCAATTTGTCTTCTCCCAGAGTCAAGCCTGAACTGAGTTGAGACAGCATCACTTTAAAGTCCCTATTGTGTCTCTACTCCCTGGGGAAGGGAGGCGGTTCTTGCAGCTTGCATGCTGCAGCAGGAAAGAGGTTATTTTACCTACCCGTCCAGAGGCCAGCAATCCTCTACCGCATTCCTCAAGACCAGAGAATTTCCATGGGATACTTCAAGAGCCTACAAAATCCCAACTGCAACTCTCTGCTTCAACGAAGTGGAGCTTAACCCCAGTCGAATTTTTAAAAAGAATCTCTCTCAGGATCTTGGCAATAATTCATGTAATTTTGAAAATAAAATTAATTTTCAATAGCATAACCCTTTCTCCAGATAATGCTTAGATTAGTGTAAGGAGAGTATGGGCAATATGTGAAACTGAGTGCTGAAAATGGTGTCTTCCTCCAGCAAGTCTGTCACACTGTATTTCATGAAGGCAGCAGCAAAGGGGTGTTGGGAGGCTGGTATCAAGATCACCATATTTTAGGTAAGGAAACAGCAGTTCAGAGAGTGAGAGCTGAAACGCGGTGCCTGTATAATTTCCCACTTGCCAGCCTGTGGCGCTCTTGGCCATTACGTCCTGGGAGCTCTCTTTTATGATAGTAACTTCCTTTGTTCTTTTCTCCACTCAATTTAACTGATTATTCTCCGCTCTCTTCACTGTCTTATTTTCGTCTGCCTATTCCTCAGAGACTGCCAAATCTAATGAATCTATCTAGGAAGCATGTCTGAAATCCATCTTCTCCCTTTTTTTATTTTAGATATTTTGGTGTTGACCTGATCCCATCCTCTCATTTTATTTTTTAAATTGTTTATATATTTCAAAATATTAATGGGGTACAAATGTTTTTGTTACATGGATAGCTTTTATGATGCTTAAGTCAGAGAGAAGTAAAACTTCATCTGAAATCAAGAAGAGAGGAAGGGGAGGGGTAAAAGCCTACCCATCAGGTCCACTATTCCGGCAGTGAGCACACCTACAGTCCTGACTTATTTTAGATTTTTAAACAATTAAGCACATAATTTTAAAAGACAAATAGTGCTAAAATGTTCGCAATGGAATAGAGCAGCCCCAGTCCCATATCAACTTGCCCCAACACTGGTCTCGCTCCCAGGAGCAGAGCTGCTGTGTAAGGCCGTGCAGGTTGCACAAAACAGCTGTGGATGCGAATGGCGCCCTCTAGAGTTGTGCAGTGCACAGCCCTCACCACCGTATATAGCAGCCTAGCCACGTTGTAACCATTCTCAATTCTTTTAGCCGTTTTATCTAGTATTTATCTTCATGATTCTAAATAATAAGATTGTATAGCTTTCTCTTGATTCTCCAGTGTCGGTCATGTATTGACTTCCTAATGGATAATTACTTAGCTCTCTCAAACTTTCCTCAACCCCTCCTCATGACTTCCACACTTTTATCCTCTCTCTGCAGTTATATCACAGTTTTGTTTCAATCAATATTCAATATTTACCTTATTAGGACCCTGTAAACACTGCTTATTGCTGACTCAAGTAGTATGCTATTGTTATGGTTGCTTCCTTGTTCAACTTTAGGTTTTTTATATGGTTAATGCTTGCTTTCCTTTCCTTTTTTTTTTTTTTTCATTTTCTTAGTAGTCTGTGTAGCAAATGACTGGCTCAATCTTCTCATTTCCTCTAAGAACTCCTCAAATAGAGTTTCCTATCATACCATGTTGTTTTTCCTAGAGAGTTTTCTCCTAAGCCTTTAATCTTCCTGCTCTATGGACTGGTTACTCTCTAGGTCAGCTACAAAGCTGTTTTCCTGAGAGTTCCCTTCACCACCATCCTGGGAATTCCCTTCACCTCTCCCCTGTTTTTTTTTTTTTTTCTTTTATTTCATCATATTATGGAGGTACAAATATTGTTAGGGTTACAAATATTGCCCCTGCCCCTCTCCCTCCCCCCATGTGTCCAATCCCCGGGTGGTGTGCACCACACACGTTATGGAAGATACACCCCTTTCCTCCTCCCCCCTCCCGCCTGCCCACCACCCAATAAAAAGTTTTGTTTTGTTTTGTTTCTTGACATTTTGGTTACATTGTATATCTTTGCCTCTCCCTAAGAAGGATTAGAGTTATGCCCTTCCCCTCCAAAATGCTTGCCACATCCCTAAGATCAGGTCTCCCCCTGAATCCTTGGTGACCTCTCCCCTGTGTTGCATTCGGTCCTTCCTGGATCTCATGTTTTCTCTCGCCCTGCTTGATGGAGCATACTGTCTAGTAGCCTCTTGAGACCTGATACATTGAAGGTAAGTTTGTTGAGATTGTTGTATGTCTAAAATATATTTATTCTATCATCACACATTGTGACAGTTTGGCTAATTGTATATTCCTAGATTGGAAATAATATTTCTTCATAACCCTGAATATAGTTCTCTGCTGTCTTCTAGCTTCCAGGGTAGCTGCTAAGTACTAAGCCTTCGTATGTGACCTGCTTTTCTCTCTGGAACCTCTTTCTATTAATTCTTTATCCCTGGTATACTGAAATTTCATAAGGATACATCTTAGTGTAGCCTTTTAACAAGTTTATTTTGCATCTGGTATGGTGGCTCACACCTGTAATCCTAGCAGTTTTGTTTTGTTTTGTTTTGTTGTTGAGACAGAGTCTCACTCTGTTGCCCGGGGTAGAGTACTGTGGCATCAGCCTAGCTCACAGCAACCTCAAACTCCTGGGCTCAAGTAATCCTTCTGCCTCAGCCTCCCGAGTAGCTGGGACTATAGGCACGCACCACTATCCCCGGCTAATTTTTTCTATATATTTTTAGTTGGGCAATTAAGTTCTTTAATTTCTTTCTATTTTTAGTAGAGATAGGGTCTCACTGTTGCTCAGGCTGGTTTCAAACTCCTGACCCTGAGGGATCCTCCTGCCTCGGCCTCCCAGAGTGCTAGGATTACAGGCGTGAGCCACCAAGCCCGGCCCTCCTAGCACCTTTGGAGACCAAGGCAGGAGGCCCTCCTAGCACCTTTGGAGACCAAGCAGTGAGCTGTGATGAAGCCACTGCTCTCCAGCCTAGGCAACAGAGCAAGACTCTGTCTCAACAAAGTTTATTTTAGGCAGAAAATTTTTTGGACTTTTAAACTAAATACCTATGTAATTTGGCTTTCAAAAATGTTATCAAATTATTTCTTTGATAACTCTATTTTATTCATTTTCTCTCTTTTATCTTTCTACAACCTCTGATATTGGAGTCCCCTAATTTCCTTATCTTTTTTCTCTTGCTGTTTATATCTTCTGTTCTATTTTCAATGAGATTTCTTCAACTTTATCTTCCAATTCTTCTTTTGGATTTTTAAGTTTAGTTATATTGTAAATTTGTAAGAGCTTTTTCTTATTCTCTTATAATTCTTTTTTTTATAACATCCTTGTCTCTCTGGGGATATTACTTTTTGTTTTCTTTAAAGTAAGTTTTCTTCTGCTCTTTGTTCTCTTTCCTTTTCTCTCTGCTTTTTATGTGATAGGCCTTTCTCAAAGGTCTAGACCCTTGCTTTGCAGTCACTTTTTAAGAGTGAGACACTGAAAGACTGATTGAAAGCCCTCTCTGACTGGGTGAGGCTTGGTAACTGCTGGGATCTAACCTGTAAATGTTATACGTGTGTGTGTGTGTGTGTGTGTGTGTGTGTGTGTGTGTGTGTGTGTGTGTGTGTTCCCCTCACCACCAGCCATTGAGATTCGCCGAGAAGGATGCACCATCATTCCATTGAGGTTTGCACGTAGCAGCTGGTGTTCCGGGGGTAGGGAAAGCGGTCTGAGCGCCTCGTCACTCAGGGTGCAGCCTTTCACGTAATCCCTCTCTTTCCAGTTGGCCACCTCACTCAAGCTCTCAGCCATGCCTGGTGTCTCTGAATTCAGAGGCCCCCTGGTTCAATTGCTTCAGAGACTAAATCTCTCCTCTCCTGCAAAAGTTAAGAGGGGGGACAGTTACCTGCATGTGCAGGATGAAGTCCTAGAGTCTAACTGATTCTTCTACAGACTTTCAACCAATTCTCCTGTTTTCAACTATACCACACTTTTACCTTTGGTACGGACTGAGCATTTGTGTGTATCTCCCCAAAATTCGTATGGTGAAATTCTAACCCTCAATGTGATGGTATTAGGAGGTGGGACATTGGGAGGTGACTAGGTCATGAGGGTAGAGCCCTCATGCATGGGATTAGTGCCCTCATAAAAGGGACCCCAACTCTCTCACTCTCTTCCCACCATGTGAGGACACAGAAGTGGGTGGTCTGCAACCTGGAAGGGGGCCCTCACCAGAACCCAACCATGCCGGCACCCTCGTCTCAGATTTCCAGCCTCCAGAACTGTGAGAAATAAATTTCTGTTGTTTATATGCCACCCATCTGTGGTTCTTTGTTAACAGAAGTCCAAACTGACTAAGACAACTTTCCACACACCTAGTACCTCTGGTTTCTTGGTCTCTCCAGAGTTTTTCAGAATGAGTAGAATTGCTTCTCACTGATATACCCATCCACAGACACTTAAATTTCATCTTTTCAAGCTTTCTCTGCTCTACTAAATCAATTCCCAGCATCTTGTATAGTTTTCATTCTTGTATGTTGTAGTTTGAGGTTATATATGTTTTCCTAGTTTCACCAATGATAGAGTGTTATGTTTTATTCTCGTTCTTCTTATTGCTTCAGGGTGATTTTTTTTTTAAATTCAAGATATTATGGGGGTACAAACATTTTGGTTACATGAAATGCATTTGCCTCACTCAAGCCAGGGGTACAAGTGTGTCCTTCCCTGATACAGTGTGCCCTGTCTCCATTAGCTGTGGGTGCAAAGATGCACCCAAATGCCCATGAATGCTTCAGGGTGATTTTTAAAGAGAAGTAAGAAGAAATGTCAACTTAAACCAGAAGATCCTCATCCTTTCCTTGCCACTTCCACTTTTACTGTTTAATTCACTCCTTTGTTGACTCTCACCTGGACCTTTCAAGTACGATCTAGCGGCTTTTTCAGTCTCCAGTTTCTTTCTCCTACAATCTGACCTTCACATATAACCAGATATGATTGCATCTCTCCCCAGCTCAAGAACTCTCAATGGGCCACTCACAACAAACAGAGCTGCGTCCTTTACAATTTGATTCCAACCAACTTTCCTAGTCTTATTTACTTGTATACTCGCAAGTTTTATTTTCCAACAAGCGCCTATTGAAAAGTTACCGTATGCCGGGGCCATAGTAGGCATTTGTGGACACAAATATGCAAATACAATCCGTACACTTGGAAACTCAGAGTCCTTCATTAAAGTCTGTGGAATGAATGTATGGATAGATGAATGAGTTCAAAAACAAATAAAGGAAGACAGCTCTTCTCTCTACCTGGTATCTGCATCCCATCCCCATATCTGTTAAAATTCTAGTCATTCAAAATCAACCTTCAGCAACAAGCCTCCTTTATGTCCATGTTGGAGTTAATCTCTTCCATCTCCCACACTCTCCTGAGCACCTTCTCTGTGCTGCTATTAGAACATTGAATCCAGGTTATTTGAATATGTTTATAGCCATGCCTGCCTCCCTCATCTGAAAGAGAACTCCTGAGTGGTAGGGATCACAAAGATCTCATAATATCAGAAAAGTGTTTTGCACTAAGCAAGAACTCAATATTATAAAAAATGTAGTGAAAATATCACATTTTTCTGTTACTGAATTAAAAGAAGAAATGTTCAGTTGGTGCTTATATAAGGGACACTGAATTGCTTTATTCATTCTTTTGATATTCCAATATTTATAAATTTATGGGCCAGACCCTGCACCATACACTTCAGTTACAAAGATGAAAAAGACACACGCATGTCCTCAAGTGGCACACAGTCCATCAAAGGAGACAAAAGTGGTATAAAATCATGTGATAGGTACAGTAACAGAGCTGTGAGCAGGGTGAAGAGCTTAGCACCCTTGCCTGGGAAACAGAGTAAAGTGGGGTGGGGGTTGAAGGGATGGAAGGAAGGTGATATCTAGCTAAGATGTGAAGGATGAAGAACAGTTCCCTAGAGAGAGAAGAAATAAACGGGAAATTCGAACAATGTCATTTTCACTTATAGCTATATCGGGGGTGGGGGGACCGCCACAAATCTATTCAAACAGAATCATTCCTTTGATATTCAAATATCTATTAAGAACCTATTATGGGCCAGGTCCCATGCTAGGCAGATATTTTTAATACACATTCTCTTAAAAAGTGAATAAAGGAGCAGTACATTTTAATTCAACAAAGGATTTTATACAGAATTGCAATAATATAGTCCAGGTAAGTTTTCTAATGATTTCTTAATTCAAAGAGAAAGCTTAGAAGAAATGCATGCAGATAACATATTAGGCAGTCTCTCAAATATCAACCATCCCAGCAAGCATTTGGCAAGAGCTGCATTGCAATCAATTCCTAGTTGAATTCTCTGATGAGGGTCGGAAATGCCATTATTCTGGGTTGTTGATTAAAGAGGGATTCACATGCTTTACATACCAGATGTGCAGGAGGTGGGGCCGGCTGCCTGTGCTGAATGAGTAGAATCCTGATTTATATTCTCTCTCAAAGGCTGGGCCAGTGTACTTTTCATAGCGGCTGAGGAAGAAAATGTGTGTGTGTGTGTGTGTGTGTGTGTGTGTGTGTGTGTGTGTTTTAAATGCCAACCTCATACCAGGCACCATGCTAGGTACCTCACAATAGCTCTTTTAATTTTCACTATGATCCTTTTGAGATAGATATGTTATGGAGATATGTGGGGAAACAGTATGCATTTTATTTTATACATTATTATTATTTATTTTAATAGGGATGATTCCAGTTATTTCTAGTATAGACAAGAGAGAGTCACCTTGGGACATATTTTTCTGTTCAGGGAAGTTACTTGAGTAACCTCTCTTGTTTACATAAATGTAAGAGAAGTAGGTGCTCCAGGCCTGGGGAAGGTTATAACAGCACCTGTTTTGTGCTAGATATTTTTCCTTTCTAATTTCCCTGCATGTGCGGAGCTCATAGGTGGAAAGGGACCATTCACATTTCAAAAGGACCAACAAGCTCCAGGAAGCTAAGAAATGGAGATCAAACCCCTTCCTTTTGTGGTTCAACATTATGAGACCCTCTTTGAATAGATGTTCTCCTGACTCCAATGTCCTCTCCACAGAGCAGGGCTCTCTGTATCCACAGGACTCGGATGGTGGCCAACACAATAAATATCAGTCAGGTGAGTCTTATCCCTCAATTGTTTACCCCATTCTCCTGCTCCCAAGTTTACCAGATTAGATTTGACTGTTCCTTTCTCAATAACCCTCCCTTCACTAGTTTTCCCAAAATAATTAACCAAAACTTTCAACAGCTTTTAAAGTCTTTTTATATCTTCACACCTAATAGAAAGTTATATAAAATGTGACCTCAAATAGGAGAGTCTGTCTTCCTGTTATAACCAGAGAATGTGCAACCAGATTATTTAATATGCCAAGTTGTTTAAATAAATAAACAAAAAAAGAGGGGGTAACTAAGATGTGAGTATTTTAAACCACTTAATATTGGAATTGTACACATTATTAGGTAGGTACTACTTCTGATTTTAGTAACATTTCTTCACTGGAATCTAGAATAAATTTATTGTTTTGAGATGACATTTTTGTGAAAATATTTAAACATAAGTCTTTGAATGGCTTTAACTAAATTTCATTCAAAGTGTTTTAAGTGAATTTACCATCATTATTTTGATGTTTTTAGAAATCTTTATAAAACCAAGAGATAACACAGTTAGAGGGATTTTATTTTAACCTTTCAATAATCTGTTAATCTATGATTTGAGAGGAAATCAATGACATTTCAAGTCAATTCAATAAACACACATTGAAAAACAACTATGTACCAGGCCAGGCATCATAATATAAACAAAAGATATAAGGATGTAAAACATGGTCTTTGCCCATAAGAAGCTTATTGTCCAATAGGGAGAAACAAATGACTAAGGAAATGGCTGTAATGCAGAGCAAATAAATGGAATCAGATCTAAAGAGCTGATCTTTTATAGGACAAAGGCAATGTCTATATACTGTAAAAGCAGGGAAGGCAGAGTATGAATTTACAGATATAGGTAGTTTCTGTTTTGAATTGTAGAGAGCTTTGCTTCATATTAATCTTCTTTATCCACTTAATCCCTCTATTATTCTTATGGGTACAGTCAGATTTAGGGCAATAATATTTAGGTTCAGAATAAGCTTAAAGGGGAAATGCTGACCTTCAATCTTGTCTGGAATATATATCTGAAGAACTGAGATAAACAATGAAAGGTAGACAATTAAATGACCAATAACACTGGCTCCTTGGTTAAAATGCAAATGAAATTTTCCCTTAATTTATTCTACAAACTATCATAAATATTTTTAAATTGCTATGGTAAATGATTTTAGTTGTGTTTTCCTGTTTTGGTCAAGCAGCTATCTTTGAAAAAGAGACCAAGGAAGAGTAATCCTCATACCAGATGTACTAGAAATCACTGCTATTTTGGCAGTCACCTCATCTACACTATTAAATCAGTCAAGAGATTCTGAAACATATCCAATTTAGGAAGGTGTTCACATTTTCCTTTTTAAATATGTTGCAGGGGCACTATGCTAAGCACTTTACCTACATTATCCCAATTAAGCTCACCACAATCCTGTAAAGAAGTCATAAAGCCACCAGGATGTAAGGCACATGCGGTCAGACACTGCTGTCTCCTTTGTTATCTTCTGTCTCCCCAGAACCTAGCACAGAGCCTGGAATAACACAGAAGCTCATAAATATTTGTGGAATGAATGAAGGGATGTCTGACTAAATGTTAAAGAACATCCTGAATGTCACCTAGCTAGTAAAAGGTAGAGTCAGGACTCTAACTCATATCTGTCTGAATGCAAAGCCCCTGCTTCTAACCTGTATGCTGTTACCTGCCTCATCTTGAAATTACCTTGTCCAGCAATTTCTAGGATCAGCATGTCCGATATTTCCAGAGGCACCAATTCGGAGACTGACCCAGTTAATCTTGACAGGAAGCTAGAGTGGCGGTTGAGAGAACAATTCTTGTTTTAAGGAGACCCAGAGGCAGGGACAGTGATAGCTAATCCACTTTTAGACTCTATCAAAGTTGGCTTGTTTGAATACATGTTGTGGGGTTTAAGTAATATTTTATATATAATGAACTTAGCCTGGTACTGGAGACTTAGTAAGTAGTCAGTACACTGTTGCAGGAACAAAAGTGGTAACTAAATGTTATAGGACATTGTAGGTGCTATTATTCTAAAGTTTTGAAAGCAAATAAACTTTAGAGCAGAGCTTTAGAGTGACTTTAGATGGTAAGACCAATGTCCAGCACAGTTGCCTGACTCAGGCAATAAATAATCATTTGAATGAACGAATGGGCCTCCTATTTGCTTTTCTATTTTAATACTGCAAGAATACTAATAGATATATTTTTGAATTCTATTCTGAGCACTTCACAAATCTTAACTCATCTAACCCTTGTAAAAGCCTTACGATTGATATTATCATTCACACATGATTTCTCACACAGCTTCACACATGATTTCACTTAGATTTGATTTCAGCCTGTCAATAATCTGTTTACCTATTATTAATGTTTCAGAGGAAATGGAGGCACGGAGAGGCTAAGTAATTTGACAAGATCACACAGCTGGTAAGTGCCAAGGTAGGATTAAACCCAGACAGTCTGGCTGCAGGTCTATGCCCTTAACCAGGACATTCTAGAAAAAGGAACAGTGCAATCAGCCCTAACTCCTATGCCAGCTGGGACCCTGAAACTGGCTCTCTGTATATCCCTCGGGTAAAGGCTGTGTAACTAGTAGACAACGAAGTACAAATGTATAATACTTCAGAAATCTGTAGCTTTAACTGTCTGTATTAGAAAAAGAAGAAAGGCATAATATCAACGATCTAAGTTTACTACCACCTTAAAAGCTAGAGAAAGAACAGCAAATTCAATCCAAACTAAGTAGAAGAAAATAAATAACAAATATAAGAACAGAAATTAATTAAATAAAAAATGGACAAATAACAGATAGAATCAATGCAAATATTGGTTGTTAGAAAAGATTAATAGAATTGGTAATCTCCACCTAGACTGACTATGAAGGTTATAACATGTGATTGAAATTTTTTGATTCAGTCAAATAATAATACATTAATTTTATCAATAACATTTAAAATGCTGTTCACCTTTCCATCAAGAAGTGGAGTCAATGTTTCTTCCCCTTAATTTGGGCCGGCCTTGGTGGCTTGCTTGTAACCAATAGAACTTGGAAGACATGGCATTGCTTTACTTCCATGCTACGTCAGAAAAGACCGAACAGCTTCCACCTGGTTCTCCTGAGATGCTTGCTGTGGAGGAAGACAGCTGCTGTGCTGGAGCGGCCACACGTAAGCTCTCCATCAACAGCCTCACCAGCTGCCAGCGTGCGTGGAAGCCATCTTGGGCACCCAGCCTACTTGAGTCTCACACGACTGGAGTTCCAGCTGCTGACTGAATTCAACTACATTAAAGACTCCAAACAAGAACTGTTCAGATGAGCTCGTCTCAAATTTCAGACCCACAAAATCACAAGTAAGTTAAACTGGTGATTTTATAATAAGCTGTGAATATTAGGGATAATGTGTTATGCAGTAATAGTAATCCAAACACTGACTGATCAGAATAAAAAGAGAAAATATAAATCTCCAAAATCAGAAATGAAGGGTGGGACATCACTATAGGTACTACAAACATTAAAAAGGGAAACAATGCAAAAATTATGAACAACTTCATACGAATATATTTGGCAATTTAGATTAAATGCACAAATTCCTTGAAAGACACCAAATTGCCAAAACTGACCCAAGACATAGAAAATCTCAATAGCCATAAATCTATATGATAAAAAGAAGAAATTAAATCATATTCCCACACCTTTCACCTCTCACAAAAATCAACTCAGGCTGGATAACAGACTTAAACCAAAGGTATGAAACTATTAGAATTCTAGAGGAAAATGTTGGAAACATTCTCCTAGACATAGGCCTAGGCAAAAGAGTTTATGAAGAAGACCCCAAAGGCAATCACAGCAGCAACAAAAATAAATAAATGGGACATGATCAAACTAAAAAGCTGCACAGCCAAAGAAAGTCATGAAAGTAAACAGACAACCTATAGAATGGGAGAAAATTTTTGCATCCTACACATCTGATAAGGGGCTGATAACTAGAATATACTTAGAACTCATGAAAATCAGCAAGAAAAAATCAAATAACCCTATTAAAAAGTGGGCAAAGGACTTGAACAGAAACTTTTCTAAAGAAGACAGAAGAATGGCCAACAAACATATGAAAAAATGCTCAACATCTCTAATCATCAGGGAAATGCAAATCAAAACCACAATGAGATATCACTTAACTCCGACAATGGCCTTTATCAAAAAGTCTCCAAATAACAAATGCTGGCATGGATACGGAGAGAGAGGAACACTCCTACACTGCTGGTGGGAGTGCAAACTAGTTTAACCTCTGTGGAAAGCAATATGGAGATACCTTAAAGTGATACAAGTGAATCTACCATTTGATCCAGCAATCCCATTACTGGGCATCTACCCAAAAGATCCAATGACACTCTACAAAAAAGACACCTGCACTCGAATATTTATAGCAGCACAATTCATAATTGCAAGGCTGTGGAAACAGCCCAAGTGCCCATCAATCCAAGAATGGATTAATAAAATGTGGTATATGTATACCATGGAGTACTATTCGGCTCTAAGAAACAATGGTTAGAGCTGGAACCCATACTACTAAGTGAAGTGTCCCAAGAATGGAAAAACAAGCACCACATATACTCACCAGCAAACTGGTATTAACTGAGCAGTACCTAAGTGGACACATAGGTACTACAGTAATAGGGTATTGGGCAGGGGGTGGAGGGCGGGTTTATACATACATAATGAGTGATATGTGCACCATCTGGGGGATGGTCATGCTGGAAACTCAGACTTGTGGGGGGAGGGGGGAAATGGGCATTTATTGAAACCTTAAAATCTGTACCCCCATAATATGCTGAAATAAAAAAATAATAAAATAAAAAAATCTTCCCACAAAGGAAATTCTAGTCTCAGATAGTTCAACAGTAAATTAAATCAAATATTTAGGGAAGGAATAATATTAATATTATATAAACTCAGAAAATATAGCAGTTAGCAATACTTCCAAACTCATTTTAGGAGACTAGAACAATCTTGATATCAAAACCTGACAAAGACATTAAAGAAAACAAAACTTCAGACCACTTGACTCTGTGATCATAGACACAAATATCATTAACAAAATATAATATCTAGGTATTTACAAAAAGAAAATACAATTTAAATGAGTTTGTCCCAGGAATGCAGAGTTGGTTCAGCATCCAAATGTAAATCAAGTTCAATATAGAAAAATCAATTGGATTTCTATATAGTAGCCACAAAGGAAAAACAAAATTTAAAAATGCTATTCACAATAGTATCAAAAAGATTGACTATCAGAAGTCCAATGAAAGGTATGCCTACACTGACAACTTCAAAACAATGCCAAGAGAAATTAAAGAAAACTTAAATAAAGATAAAGGCATGGAGATACATACCATGTCTATGAATTACACGATTTAATATCAAGATAGCCATTCTTCCAAATTAACCTATGAGTCAATGAAAAACCCATCAAAATGCCAAGAGCTTTTAAAAAGGAAATATGACAAGTTGATTGTCATATTTATGTCCATATTTATAATATGCCTATATTTATGGAAATGTAAAGGATCTAGAATAGTTAAAACAATCTTTAAAAAGGTGAAGAAAGTTGGAAGATATATACTACTTAATTCCAAGAGTTACAATAAAAATACAGCAATCAAATTGTGTGACGCTGGAATAAGGATAGACACATCAAACCAGTTAAACAGAACAGAGTCTAAAAATAGCTCCCCACTCACAAAGTTAACTGGCTTTGACCAAAGCCCAAAGCTGATTTTATGGGAAAGAAAATTCTTTTCAACAAATGGTACTAGAACAATGATATCTGTATGGAATAAAATGAAGCTCAACCTCTGTTTCATACCTTACACAAAAACTAATTTGGGATGGCTCATAGACCAAAATGTTAAAGCTATATGCATAAAACTTCAAGAAAAAAACATTAAAAAATATCTTTGTGACCTTGAGAAAGGCAAGATTTCTATGGACACAAAAAGCACTAGCTAATAAAAAAATGATGCATTGTACTTCATAAATATTAAAAAATCATTGTACTTCATAAATATTAAAATTTTCTGCTCATCAAAAATCACTATTAAGAAAATGACTAGGGAATCCAGAGACTGGGAAAAAATATTTGCAATAGGTATATCTGATAAGAACTTATATCCAAAATATGTATAAAGAATTCCAACAAATTGCTTGGGCGCAGTGGCTCAGGCCTGTAATCCTAGCACTCTGGGAGGCTGAGGTGGGAGCATTGCTGGAGGCCAGGAGTTCGAGACCAGCCTGAGCAACAATATGGATGGACCTCAATAACATAATGTTGAGTGAAAAAAGACAATAGAGTACATTTTTGTCTCTACTAAAAATAGAAAGAAATTAACCAAACAACTAAAAATAGAAAAAATTGGCTGGGCATGGCAGCGCATGCCTATAGTCCCACCCAGGGGGTGGGGGGGGGAGGGGTGCGGAGGTGGCTGAGGCAGGAGAATTGCTTGAGCCCAGGAGTT